ATTCTTAGGATTCAACCTCAGGTCCTCAAGCTTGTACAGCAAGCATTCTTTCCCAGGGAGCCGAGTCTCTCCCATCCCTCTATATGCCTTCTCCATTAAAAAATTACTTTTGAGGGCTGGTAAGATGGATTAGTGGGTAAAGGTGTTTGTGGCATAAGCCTGGAGACCTGAGTTCAAGTCCCAGAACCAACAGGAATGTGCAAGCAGAGAACCAACTTCACAGAATTGTCCCATGACCTCCACAAATGCACCAGAACATATGTGTGCCTACACATACATATATCACACATGCTAATAATAATTAATTTTAAAACTTGTGAGACTTGTGATCCTCCTGCCTAGCCTCTGGAATCCTAGGATTACAGCCGTGTTAGTTCAAATGTGTGCACACACTCACACTTATGCCTGGACCTGCACAGGTTTGGGATCATCATTATCATTCTCCCAAGTCACCTTGAATCCCCATCTCCAGGACAGGAAGACCATGGAGCTGCCACCCTCAATGGTTCAGAGCCTTCTGGAATCCCTTCTGAGAGACCCACTTGAAGTTCTTCCCCACTAGGAATTAGTCTCGTCAGAGAGGTGTCCAAGCTGGTCTTCCTTTAACAGATCCGCAGATAAAGCAAGCCTCGTAGGGCTGTGGTTTTCACATGAGACAGGCTGGCTTGGATTTTTGGACTCCAGGCTTGACTTGAACTCATAGAAATTCTTTGGCCTCAACCTCCCAAGTAAACTTCCATCCTGGTTCACACTTCCTCTTTAAGTGGTGCTGGGGGATTGAACTCAGGACCTTGCACATACTAGACAAGTAAGTACTCTGCCACTGAGCTATGGCTTTAGCCCTGTGTTTTCAAAGTTTCAAAGGAACGCTTGGAACCTGTCAAGACCTCAGCTAAACCCTTTCCTGTGAATTTACTTGGGGGCTGTGTCAGTAACTTGTCTTGTTACCACGGCAAAATGCCTGACATAGGTGACTTAAGGAAGGGATGGTTTATTTTGACTCCCAGTCTGCAGGTACAGTCCATCACAACGGGGAAGCCACAGAAGCAGGAGCTGCAGGTGACACTCACGGTGAGGAAACAACAGTGTTGGGCTATCATGTCATCTGGATTTCTGTTTTATTCAGTCCAGGATCCCAGGCCATTGAGTGGGTACTGCGCACAGTCAGGGTAGGTCTCGTTTTAATGAATTTAATCCTGACAGTCCCTTACAGGCATATCCAGAAACTAACCTATAATCTAGGTAATTCTTTGTGTGTGTGTGTGTGTGTGTGTGCATGGTTGTTTTGGCACAGAGTTTCTCTGTGTAGCTTTGGTGCCTGTTCTGGAACTTTCTCTGTAAGCCAGGCTGACCTTGAACTCACAGCGATCCACCTGCCTCTGCCTCCCAGGTGCCGATATTAAAGACCTGCCTCATCACACTCGTCCTTAAGCTATGTTTTCATCATGTGCTAAGAATTCTCAGCTCCTAGTCAGCTGTAGTGCTCATGCCCGGAGCCCAGCCTTCGGGAGGCTGAGATGAGAGGCTCACTGCAAGCTTGAGGCTAGCCTGGACTACACAGAAAGTTCCAGGATAGCTAAGGTTACAGGAGGAAACACTGCCTCAAAAGGTAAAAACAAAAACATCAAAGAAGAGAAAATTTCAGTTCTATTACTCAGTTCCTATGGCTTACTGTCTACATGCACATACAAACATCGGCAGTGCAGAACGCTCTACATTCCTCCTTCCCAGACTCACTCTGCTGTAATTCTGTTCCCAGAGCTACTCTCCTGCTCTCCTGAAAAACACAACTCAGATTTCCTTACACTCTCCTCCTCTTCTCCTCACCCCTCCCAAGGCTTCATAGACACATTACCCCACTCTCCTCACCCCTTCCAAGTCTTCACAGACAGTCTCCCCCTCTCCTTATCCCTCCCAAGACTTCACAGACAGTCTCCCCCCTCTCCTCACCCCTCCCAAAGCTTCACAGACAGTCTCCCCCCTCTCCTCACCCCTCCCAAAGTTTCACAGACAGTCTCCCCCCTCTCCCCACCCCTCCCAAAGCTTCACAGACAGTCTCCCCCCTCTCCTTACCCCTCCCAAGGTTTCACAGACACACTCTCCCCCTCTCCTTACCCCTCCCAAGGTTTCACAGACACACTTCTCCCGACCTTCCCTAGGCTTCACCCCTCCCATTCACCCTCATCTTCCTTTGCTGTTGTTCTTCCTCTTCTGGTCTCCTCACTCTGCCCTTGGCAATTCTTCCTCCATTCTCAGCAGCCACTCTGCCCAGCTCTGAAGTGTCCTGGGCCCTGCAAAGCCGTCATTGTTGGTGGCCTCTTATATCCTCACATCCCAAGGATTGAGAGGGGTAACTGGTGTCTCTTCACTAAAGCCCAACCAAGTTTCTTGTCCTATATCCTTATTTAAAACCCCCTGATACTTTAAGGGTGAGGCCACTCATCTGTATGTACCTTTGACCCTTGTGCTGGCATCTAGAGACACCAAGAGGCCTGTTTTATTTATCAAGGATAAATAGCTAAGGGGCTATGAGATGGCTCAGTGGGTAAAGGGGCTTGCTGGCAAGACTAGTGGCCTGAGTTCAATCCCCAGGACCCACAAAGTGGAAGGAAAGAACCAAAACCTGTAAGTTGTCCTCTGACTCCCACATGCACACAAATGAATAAAGAGTAACTTATTTTATTTTGTTAGTATTTTGAGATAGGGTCTCACTACATAGCCTTAACTGAGTATGTAGACCAACCTGATCTCAAACTTACAGAGATCCATATGCCTCCATCTCCCGAGTGCTGGGATTGAAAGGTGTATGCCACAATACTCAGCTAAAATGTAATTTAAGAAAATGATTAAGCCAGGCGGTGGTGGCACACACCTTTAATCCCAGCACTTGGGAGGCAGCGACAGGTGGGTCTCCATGAGTTCGAGACCAGCCTGGTCTACCAATTGAGTTCCAGGACAGGCTCCAAAGCTTCAGAGAAACCCTGTCTCAACAGAACAAAAAGCAAAAACAAAAAAAAAAAGAAAGAAAGAAAGAAAAAGATGATGATTAAGCTAGGCACGGTGGCAAACAAACAAAGGATTAATATCTTGCGCACAGCTATGCTCTTTCCACCCATGCCCTCTCAAGGTCTGCCACTGACCAGAGGGATCCAATGTCAGCATCTTGATTGTCCCCTGGTCTCCATGGGAGCTGGCTGATGGCTCAAAAGAAAGGTTGCTACATTAGCCTCAGGCAGATTTTTTGGACAAGGGCAGAAAGCAGCTACGTTCTCTGCCAAAATATTACAAGAATGGTTTCTAGGCCACACACCAACGTTCTTCTCTTCTATAACCTCCTGAGCTGGGTCGTCATGAGCTACATTGCTCTCAGCACCATTGTCTTCCATTCTCCTGCTAGTATGGCCCACTAAGCTCCAACTTCTTGCTTTCCTTCAATAGCTTTCCTCATCTAAAATCCACACTCTACCCACCAGCAGCAAGGTCAGGCCTCTCACAGCAATACCAGTACTGCTCCCTGGTACCAACTTCTCTCTTACTCAATGTTCCATTGCTGTAAAGAGACCATGACCATGGCAGCTCTTGTAAAGGAAAGCACTTAATTGGGGCTGACTTACAGTTCAGAGGTTAGTTCATCATCAGCATGGCAGGGAATGTGGGGGTGTGCAAGCAGACATGGTGCTGGAGAAGTAGCTGAGAGTTCTGCATCTGGATCCACCACACTGGGTGTCTTTATCTCTCTCCACCCTTTTATTCCTTTGCGTTTTTTGTTTTGTTTTGTTTTGTTTTGGAGACAGGGTATCTCTGTGTAGCCCCGGCCGTCCTGGAACTCACTCTGGCTTCAAACTCACAGAGATCCTTTATATTCTTTTTCATATTAATTTGTTATTACTGTGTAGATTTTACCTGGGTCCTGGGCATTCAAGCTTGTTCCTTATGCTCAGCTGGGAAACACTTTACTGGCTAAGTCATCTCCCCAGCCACCTCTCAACTGTTTAAAGTGAGATTTTTAAAATTTTTCAGCTGTGAGTTCTTACCTTTCTTTTCTTCAAAAGCCTTTCAAGACCCAGCTCCACAACTGCCCTGTTGTCATAAATGCTACTTCTCTTGGGGACTGAGCTCCCCGAATCCTTACTCTTCTAAAGTATTTATCCTCCCCCATCGGATTAGAGGTGGTGCATGAGCAGTTCTTCCTTCTCTCCCAGTAGGACCATAAGGACCAAGGCAGTGGTTCTCGACCTTCCTAATGCTGAGACCCTTTAATACAGTTCCTCATGCTGTGGTGACCCCAATCATAAAATTATTCCGTTGCTACTTCATAACGGCAAATTTGCCACTGTTATGAATCACAATGCAAATATCTGATACGAGGGGTCGCGACCCACAGGTTGAGAACTGCTGGACCAAAGGTTGGCGCTCACTAAAGCCCAAAGGTTTGGATGTTGCCCAGTCTCTGGTACATACAGCTGTTCAGTAAATATTTACTAAATGCAAGAAGGCTGTATCCTTTCTAAGCTACTAGTTATTACCTGAAGACCCCTTCCCAGTCAGGCAGCCAGTCTCCCAGGAGTGGGAGGATCGGGTCGGCACGCGCCGCCTACGCTGTTTTATTCGTTTTTCTGCCTTCAGCCAGTGAACTGCTGCTGGTGATTCAGGTAGACGTAGTTAGATGTGCAAGTCCAAGTTTTTTTTAGCAGGTACGAGAAGACAAAGTTCTGAGACGCCCCGTAACACTTCTAACACTTCAACTCTCCCACCTACTCTTACCTTCACAGGAGGGTGGGGACGCTCCGAGAGCGAGGCCCCGCTGACCAATGCTTGATCTGGATCAAGACAGTCAGCCAATTGCTGTGGGCCAAAGACAGGAGGGGAGGAGCGTGGTTGCTAGGGTCAGGCTAGTGGGTGCGGCGGGTGGCGCGGAGCGACTTGGTGGTTGCTAGGAGGGAGGTCACAGAACGCGGCTCAGGGATTGGGCAGCGCAGGACGGGGGCGGGGGAGTGGGCGTGGCCCGGCGGCGTCTGGCCCAGGCGAGGTGAAACCGCGGGAGTTCCGGCGGGAGGCCCGTGCTGACGGCCCGCACCTTCACCATGGCCTCGGCCGAGCTGGATTACAGCATCGAGATCCCGGATCAGCCCTGCTGGAGCCAGAGTATGGACGGGGATTGGGGTGGTAGCCCAGCAGCAACGCCCCGCCTGTCCCACGGCCCCGCCCTCTCGCGGCCCGCCCCCTCCGGGGTCCGCCGGGCTGGACGGAGTTTGCGGGGAGAGCAGAGCCCCGCCCCCTGAGCCCCGCCTTCCCCTCCCCCTCCCAGTCGACTGAGGGTCTTTCTGTTCCACTCTAGGTTCTCAAGGCCCGAGTTCTGCCTCCCTTTGTAGCTGGAGCCCCCTCGAGGTTCACCCTAATTCTTTTGTTTTGGATCGGACTTCCCAATTCTCTCCCCTCATCGCCAAGTTTGGTTAGGCCCACCCTTCATTTTCCAGAGGGCATAGGATCCTTGGGGAGCCTCTGGACCCCAGAAAAGTTCAGGGCGCAGCGTGCCTAGTCCTCCTTGGCAGTGGTTAACAGATCAGTCTGTGAGGCTGGCTTGAACTCTGTCGAAATCCTATCTCCTGCTTTTGGTAATTGGATGACCTTCGGTAGACTTTCAATTCCAAATTTCAGTTTTCCCTCTCAGCAAAAATGAGGAAAAATTACTGGTTGCACACTTGAGATTATTGGTGTAAAGGACTTGGCATAGGTCCTGGTGGAAATGAGTTTAGTGGTTGGCATTTGGAATTAACATTGTTTATCCCCTACAGTCATATCATTAAAAAAGATGTGCGGGAGGCCTCACAAGGTTAGTATAAGTTGTTGGACCAGAGAATGGAACGTTGTCCTTGTTGGAAACTATGGCAGAGGAGGCTCTAAGTACAAGTAGGCCTCAGCTTCTGCTCTCTGGTCTGTTTGGAACAGCGTTTGTTTGTCCAGCTCATTGGAAGCTCATCGTAAAGCCTAGCTTCTGTCAACAGCCTTCGCAGGCCCCTCTGGTCCTACCGCGTTTCCCTTGCTTGGAGCTTAGGATAGGGTATCAGCCTCTCAGCTCCCAAAGCACGAATGACTGACTCTGTTTGTCCCTAGAGCTGGATCATTGGGCTTATGATGTGAAAGGACTTTTGACTTCAGCATGAGATGAAGTCAGTTAATATTGCTAGCCTTGCAGAGCCGTTAGCTGCAAAGGGCTGACGCTCCCCCTTCTGCGTGGCCAGAAGGACAAGGGTTCTCTCTCTGCCCAGGTGGGTAGAGACTATCTTGGTTTGCATTTCTGCCCTACCTCTTACTAGCTCTCTATCTTTGGCAAGTTTTTATTATTTATTTATTTTGACAGGACTGGGGGGTTGAACCCAGGGCCTGACGCGTGGCTAAGGCACGTTGCTTTACCACTGTGCTGTTCTTAGCCCTTGTTAAAGTTAGTTACATATTTATTTGTGTGTGCATGCTCACCATAGTGTGTGTGCACAGGACAGAGGACAGTTGGTTCTCTGTGGGGCTGGAGAGCTAACTCAGGTCATGTGGTTTAGCACATGCTGGACAATCTCACCAATTCAGCCCTCCTTTTTTGACAGTCTCACCCTGTTGTCTAGACTGGCCTTGAACGTACTCAGCTGCCCAAATAAGCTTGAAATTACAAATACTGCTCAATCTTTTCTAGTAGCTGGCATTCTAGGCACGTGCCACTGGAACTGGCTTTGGTAGATGATGATGATAATGATGCTGGAGACGGATTCTCCTGTGTAGTTCTCACTGTTCTGGGACTCATTATTATAGACCAGGCTGGCTTTGAACTTACAGAGATCTTCCAGGCTTTGCCTCCCAAGTGCTGGGATTAAAGATGCGCACTGCTACTCCCGGCTTTAGCACATCCTTGAATCATTCTGAGCCATGCATTTCTTCTGTGTCAGCTAGAAATAATCATGACGACCCCCTAGGACTGTGAAGGTCAACAGGGTAGAGGCTGCATGTGTGTCCCTGGAACTGAATGGCTTCTCCTCCAATGTGCTTCCCCTTGTTGCTTTAGAAGACTGGGGCTTAGAACTGGAAGACATCCAAGGGGCCAGTTACTCTACATCCCACAGTAGGACACTGTGTTGTTGGAAGGATGCTTCCTCCCAGGCACCAGGGCCTGTTGGAGGACTCGTTAGCCAACACTTCCTGTTCTCCAACACACCAGTCTTCATTTGCTTCTGTCAGTGTGGCGTTTGCTGTGTCACTGCCGAGGGTGAGTTGTTGGTGCCTGAGGGATGCATTAGAGGCCCCCTGCAGAGCTGTGGATTTCTGGAGAGAGGGGATAGGGGAGCAGTGGCTTCACAACTATGGTTACCATCTGGAGAGTAAGTCCTCTTCCTTTCTAAGAGACAACTTCCTTCCTTGAATCTTTCCTCAAAGAGGAAAAACCTCCAGGGCTTTCATTGTTTCTTCTACTGCCCTCTCAGTGTAAAGACCAGAGCTAAGTTGTAGGTCATGGACTGCTTCCCAAACCCCGACCCCAATCCCAACCTAAACCCCAATACTACCCATAACCGTAACCCCAATCCAAACCCTGACCATAACCCTAACCCAATACTACCCTTAACTGTAACCACAGTCCAAACACTGACCCTAACCCAAACCCAGCAGCAGCTTAAACCCTAATACTACTCTTAACTGTAATCCCAGTCAAAACCCTGACCTTAACCCAAATTCAACACCAGCCTAAACACCAATGCTACCCTTAACTGTAAAACAAACCCTAACTCTAACTGAAACCCAACAACAGCCTAAACACCAAAACTACCCAAAACCATGACCCAACCCTAACACTAACCCTAACCAAACATGAACCTAAACCCCAATACTATTGTTAACTGTAACACCAATCCAAACCCAACCCTAACCCAAATCAAACACCAGCCTAAACCCCAATGCTACCATAAATGTAAAACCAAACCTAACTCTAACCCAACCCAAGCCAAGCCTAAACACCAATGTTAACCTTAACTGTATCCCCAACCCTAACCTAAACAAGAAATATAACACTAAAACTAACCCAATCCCAATTTCATCCCTAAGACTAAATCCAACACTAACCCTAACCCTAATCCCTAACTCTAACCAAATCTAGCCCCAACCCTAACAACAACCAAAGGCCTAAACACAATGCTAACCCTAACCCTAGCTCCAACCCTAATCCTAAATATAAGGCCAACAATAACCCTAACCCTAGCTCTAACCTTAACCCTAACATTAAGCCATCTCTAACAGAAACCCAAACCTTACCCACAAACCCTAACCATATTAGACGACTTTCATGCCTCCTTGAACCGTCTCTCCCGAATGAAGTACGATGAGGGCTTTCAGTTGTTTCTTCTGCTTATTTTCCAAATGCATGCTCCAGAGATAATATGGAGGTCAGGGACTATTTCTCTAAACCCAAATCTAACCACAACCTTAACCAAAGTTACAGCCCAACTTAAACACAAAACCTAAAACTAATTTAACACTAAACACTAACCTTATCTTTACCTGAACCATAACCCTAGGTTCAAACCTAACCTTAGCCCCTGACCCCTACACCTGAATCTGACCTTCACCTGACCCTGACACAAACCCTTAACCATAATCAGAACCCTAATTCTAACCCTAAGCCTAAACCTAACCCCTAACCCAAATCTCAACCCTAACCCTAGCTTCATCCCTAACCCTAACAATAATCCCAACACTAACCCCAGCTCAAACCCAACCTCAATCTGAGCCATAATCCCAACTCTAAATATAACTCCAACCTAACCCCGACCAAACCCTAAATCCAACCCTAAAATTAATTCCAACCCTATCCCTAAACCTATGCATTACCTTAATCCCAACCCTCATCTTAAACCTATGCATCACTCTAACCCCAACCCTAAACCTAACTCTAACTCCAACTCTAAACCTGAATTCCCAACTGTAACCCTAATCTGCACCGCAACCTTAATGATAACTTCAAGATTAACCCCTAATCCTGTTACCCTAACTCCAACCCTACCCCCAACCTTAACCTTAACCCAACCCTAACCCTAACTCAACCCTAACCTGTGTGCTATGGTCTCTGAATTTATCGGCTTTTGCTCTTTAGAAAGTTCCTCTGCAGGTTGCCCTGGCTGCACGGAATGACTCTTTGGAAGGCCCAGGGCAGAGAATGCCCTTCCTTTGTGGTTGCTCTTTAGTGAGGAAGTGTGCAGGATAGCCAGTCATATTTAGTTTCTGGAATTGCCTCACCCTTTCCCCGAATAGGAGGAAATCCAAGCACAGAGCCAAGTACTGCAGTGGTTTGGCAGTTGGTGAGCAACCATTACTAACCGTGTAGCGGTGGGCTAGAGTCATTCAGAGCCCTGGGCTTTGTGGGCCAGTCTGGGCACACTTGGGCCTAATGTGTGAGGTCTTGGATTTGATCTTCCAACAGTATGCTGACCCCACAAAATTCACAGAAACTTTGAAGACAGGGCTCTCACCCATTGAGTTACCAGAAGACCCGAAGGCAGCCCCCCAAGGTGACTTAGGGGTTCCAGCCTTCTCTTTTACCTTCTTTTTTACCCAATGGCAAGGGTCAAAGAAATGTAGCCACATCTTTAAACTCAGCAAGCTTTTGCTGGCTCCGGGATCAGGAGTCTAAGGGAGGCTGGGCAAGCTTTGGTAGTGAAGTCAAGACCCTCAGGAGGTGGCCAGATATGAAAGCATATGGTAATAATCCTAGCACAGGGGAGGCTGAGGCAGGAGGATTGCCATTCCAAGGTTAGTCTGAGCAAGACCCTGTCTCAAAAGAAAAAAAAAAGAATGAAAGAGAGGAAGGAAGGAGGGAAGGAAGGAGGGAAGGAAGGAGAGAGGGAGGGAGGGAGGGAAGGAAGGAAGGAGTGTTGGGCCCCACCACCATCATGAGGGGCCTGTGTTGAAGGGGTGGAGCTCCCAGAGGGCTGACAGGACCATGGTGGTCATCAGAAGTGCCAAAGCAAGGGATCAGGAGTCTAAGGGAGGCTTGGCAAGCTTTGGTAGTGAAGTCAAGACCCTCAGGAGGTGGCCAGATATGAAAGCATATGGTAATAATCCTAGCACAGGGGAGGCTGAGGCAGGAGGATTGCCATTCCAAGGTTAGTCTG